CAATGTGTCCCACGTGGCGCTGAGCACACTTTGGTGTGCAACACCCACACACTGTCAGGGGCCCCAGCTGTCCAGCAATTTGGTGTAGTGACCTGAATTGTGTGGTGAGTTTGGCAAAAAGGCTGCAGCACAAAGCTTGGTGGACTTTGGAATTTGACTCTTAGAGACATGTACAAGGTTGTCACAGTGTTCAATCAACCCCTTTGCCAGCTGCAAGACAGACATTTTAATAGCACAGGCTTTGTCCCCAGCCAGACACTCAAGGGCCAGGAAAGCCCTTACCTTCCTTCTCCTGGAGCAGGGAGTAACACTGGAGCAGGACTTGCGACAACAGCTGGATGCCTCGCCCTCGCATCCGAGGATCTGTGTTCTCCAGGCAAAACCTAGGCCAGGAGGGGAGAAAGCCCAAGAAGCCTGTTGTGAGCAGGTACATCCAAGCAGGAAGCACATCCTGAGCAGGCACAAAACCAAAGAGGTGTCCCTCTGTGGGCCCGACCGTGCCTGACTTGCTGGCAGAGTGGAAACAGACTCCTCTCCCCCTGTCTGTGCTGCATGTGTGCACTCAGCCCCAGAACCATGCAGAAAGAAATCCAAGTTCTCAAGTCAGAGCACAGAAAATGCTATTGCACCATGCTCCCAAGATCACAAGGGTCAAATAGGATAAAGCCTCTTACAATGAGGCACACCCAGCCCCCAGCTTGGAAGAAATGAGAAATGAGCCTAGGCCATGACAGTTTGGACACAAAAGCAGAAGCTGAGTGCCAGCCAATTTGTGACATGGTGTTGTGCAGCTGTGTGCTCAGGCAGCTCCTGCTGGGGACAGCCCCAACTGAAAAGTGCCCTGCAGCATGCTGCCTGCCACAACATCTCTCCTCTGTCCTGGGAGAGCATCAGGAGTTGCTCTGGCCTTGCTCTGTCCCAAAGAGCTCCCATATCCAGGGAGGGCAAAGCACTGCTCAAGCCCCACGCTGTGAGCAGACAACATCCTGTCCACTGCCATGTGTCATCCAGTGCTGAAGCTCATCCTGGATGAGCACACTTGTCCTTCTCACTCTGCCTCCTTCTGGGAATGTCCCCTGCAAGGCCCTTACCCAATGTATAACTTGCATAAGGCTTTTCTTACCCCAGGGCTTCCACAAGCTGCAGCACTGTCCACCTTCCATCCTTCACCCCTGGAGAAAGGAGGTAAAGAGAGTGAACCAGAGAGATCATGCAGGCATTTTACTGGAGATGGGTGCTGGGACACATCCCAGCACTGCCCTGGGAACAGCCAGTCAGTGCTGACTCCTCACCAAGCACCAAAGGAGCCATGTGCACTCAGCTGGTGGGGCTGCCTCCAGCCCTGCCTGCAAACACCTCTGAGACTGAGAGCTGAGAGGAGACAGCCAGGGGAGAGCTTGCCTGCACTTTGCCTCACCGTCTCCCTGCAGCATGGCTGTATGTGTGGCTCCTAAGAGAAGTCTTGCTGTGTTCCACTTCTCTGAGATACTAAAACCCCCTTTTCCAATGTGAGCATGCTGTGAGGAGACAGAGGGCTGCTCTCCAGGTGCTTCCTGAGGGAGAACTGGCTGAACAAGCAGTGCAGACACTAGTGATCACTCAGCTTCCCACCTTGGCTCCATCACCTCCATGCTGTGCAAGAACTGCACTAACTCCTTCCAAGATGGAGGGCACAGAGAAAGGCAGTTTTGTGGACAGAGGAAGATAAAATGCTGGGATTCCTGGAGTCTATTTCCAACTCTGACTCAGATTCCTTGCCAGGTTGCCTTATTCACCTATGGCCTCTGTACTCTTGCAATTCAACTGGGGGAAGAGTCACTCCTCAGGAGGCTTTGGTAAGGACCTGCTTGCTGCACCTTACAAGAACCTTGGCAGAAGGGCAGGTTCTCCATTCCTGCCACCCATTGCCAATGTGGCACCTCCCCAGAAGGAAAGCTCTGTGTACACTCTCTGCTCAGACATATGCTGGCAGGCATGGGACTGCCTTCCTTCAGACCCCTAACCTGCAGTCAGGTGTCAAGTGACATTGCTGGAAAACAAGCAGCACCCCTCACTTTCTGCCTGGACAAAACAGCATTCCCATAAAAAAAACCCCAAATCACCTGGCAGTCACTGAGACTGTCTTTGCCCAGGGGCACTTCTGGGCACTCTGGAGGGACCTGCTCACCTCTCTGCCCTGCTGAACCTACATGACTGACAGGGCACTCACCCTCTGAGAAGCCCAAAGGTTTCATTATGGGCTTTCCCAGGCCTTGTTCCAGCTAGTGTCTCCTGCTGCTGCAAGCCTTTACTGTCCCTTCCTAAGCAGTTAATTCCAGTATTAAGACACACTGTTCATCATAGAGCTGTCTCTAGGGATGGCATGACAGTGTCTTCTGACAGTGTGTTCTGACAGCAGGCAGTCCTGACTCCAGAGACTGAGCTTTCAGTCCTGCCTGGCGCAGCAGGGAGAGGGAGCCTGAGCTGAGAAACACAACAGATAAGGGGAGCTGTGTGGAAATAGAGCCCAGCAAGTCTTGGAATTGACAGGCACAGACTGAAAAGGGGGCGCCCTCAGGGACAGCCATGACGTGCTGGCAAAATTTCCTGCAGAAAAACAACAGTGAAACAGCAAGCAGATGCTTTGCATCAGCCAAAGCAGAGTGGGCTGCAGAGGGAGCTTGGATGGCCTCTCCACATCCAGCATCCCAGTATCTCGCTCTGCAAGCTCACCAAGAGCCCTTGTGCTTCTGCACCATCATAGAAAAAGTCTGAGACAAATGCCATCTCTGTGGCCAGGTGGTCTGCCTCTCTGTGTCTGCAGAGACTGAAAGCAGCTCTACACAAAGCTTCTGGCTCCCTACTCAACAGGAAAGAGCTGCAGTGCGATGGCCAAAGCACAGCCAGGTACTGATACACCCTGAGGTCAGCAGCTCCTTTGCTCAGCTCAGCAAGGGAGCTCCCTGTGCTCTCAGGGACCCCGGTGTGACCAGCTTTGCCTTGCCTCACACGGTGTGGCCACCCCTCCCTGGCACAGCCTGTGAGTGTAGCGTGCCCGTGGCCAGCACAGCTCATGGACCTGCCTCATCAGCACGGCAGGCACAGTGGTGAGCCCTGAAACTGCTGCCTCCACATCTGGCAGCAGCACATATGCCCCAAGGTTAATCAGGCACCTTGAATCCCTCTACCAGGAGGGGCTGCCTTGCTATTCTGGCATTCCTGTAGCTCCCAGAGACTTAGCAGAAGGAAGCCATTCACCCTGTGCTGGATTGCTACTCTGAACCAAGCTGCTCTCTTTTCCTGACAGGTCTCTCCCCTTTTCAGTGTCCTTCTAGGTATTAGTCCCTTCTGAAGGACTTCATTCTTGTTTCCCTCACACCTTCAAAATGTGAGCACAACATGCACAAGGAATGTGTAATGGATTCTGTAGCAGCAGTAGCCTTCTCTCCCCATTTTTTAAGATGAATTCAGCCTCCTCCTGCCACCCGCTGACCCATGCAGCCCAACCTGCCTGTGACAGCACCAAGGCCTTCAGGCCACTTGCCAAGTTACGCTCATTTTAGTCCTTAGCAACAAACTGGTGAAGCTCAGTGTGTTTGCTACAGCAATTGCACAATGGCCATGAGCTTAGAAAAGACCTCCCTATCCTTTTGCTCAAGGATACACAACGCAATTTAATCCTTTCTGATGTGTGGTTCTGTACGAGGTCAGAGGGACTCAAGGACACTTGCCAGCACCACTGTTTGTGAAGGGGGGCTTGTCACAAGAGCCACACGGCTGAAAAGGGCTGGGAGGAGCAAGAGGGGAGCAATTCTCTTTGTACGTCTTACAAGAGACAAAGCTTTCTCCAGGCACTTCTCTAACATGACAGCAGGTGACAACAGCAGCTGTAAGGTTATCCTTCCCCACATATATCCCAAATATGTCGGAGACTGTGTAACCCCTCTGCACCATCTTGAATGTCACATAGCTTAGAAAATTCTTTCCAATTTCCCTGGCATTTTCTTCAATCTGTGTTACATGCGCCACTGGGTTTCCTTTCTGTTTTGCCAGCTCATCTCATTACCAAGACACTACATAGCAGTTCACAAGCCATCAGGCCTCGGGAAAGGTTCTAAAAGGTACCTGTCTGTGTAATGTAACATACACAGACAGCCTTTCTCGGCTCTCCGAGCTCCTTCCCGAAACATGCTGAAGCCACTGCCTACACACACAAAAATATCACCTTATCCTTAGAGCTGTAACTTCCCTAATGCAACAAAGTCACCCAATTGCTGTTCGAAGGAGAAGGATAAATTATGCGATGAAAGCAAATGCAAAGTCTTGCTAGAAACCACAGAGAGGGGGTAGTCTGCAACTGTCACCTCCCACGGTCGCTCAGCAAGGCCATGAGCTCTCGTCCCACTGCCGATTTCTCTGCCACGCACACGTGCCTCGCTCCTGGAGCCCCTGACCCTCGCGGCTGTCCCGCTCCTACCGCGCACCTCCTGCAGCTCCGAGCTGCAGGCCCTACCCTCCCCTTTCCCACGTGCCCTGCCCGCACGGCAGCCCCACAACCCACAGACACGCTCCGTCCACACCCTGCCCTGCCCTGCCCGCAGCCCCACGCTTCCTCCCAAACCCCTCCCCACGCCGCCACGACCCGCCCGTGCCCACGCCCGCCCCAGGCCCCGCCGCCGTGCCCACGCCCCAGGCCCCGCCGCCGTGCCCACGCCCAGTCCCGCTCCGCCCCGCCCCCGCGCGGTACCTGCCGCCACCTCCGCGGCGCGGCCGTCCTGCTGCCCGGACACGAAGTCCCGCACGGAGGCGGCGAGAGCCTCCGCCCCGGCCCCGGCCGCCGCCATGACACCCGCGCGCAGGGCCGCGGCCCGGCCCCCGCACCCCCCCTGCGCCTGCGCGGGGGCGGTGCCGGCGGTCACGTGTGCCCGGGGGGCGGGGCGGCCCCGCGCGCGCACCGGGCCCCGCGCGCACGGGCGGGCGCAGCGCGGAGCCGGCGCGGCCCCGATGCCGAGCGCCGCCGGTCGGCCCCGCCATGGGCGGCTGCGTGGGGCGGCAGCGCCGGGAGCGGCCCGCCGCCGGCGGCAACACCCGCAAGCGAGCAGGTGAGCGGGGGTCGTCCGGGCTGGGCACCCCCGCGATCGCGGGCACTGGGGCGGGGGGTCCCGTGTCCCCCTGGGGGTGGCGCGGGAGGAACGTGGGCACCGGAGGGGCGCAGTTCGCCATGGGACAGCTCCCCCCTCGCACAACCCCGGAACCGCTCTGTGCCCTCGGGGTTCCTGGACGCCGGGGATCCCGGTTCGGTGCGCGGCCTCGGGAGCGGACAGGAACCGCGGCTCCCGTCCCGGTGCCCCGGAGGCTGTGCGGGGTGAGGGCTGCTCGTGTAGCCGAGCCCTGCCGGTTCCCGGCTCCTCCCGGGAAGTGCTGTCCTGGCAGGACTGCAGGGTGGCGGATGCCCCGCTCCGGGCTCGGCAGCGTGCCCCGCGCGGCTCGGCGCGTCCTGCGAACGGCCGGGTCCTGCCCGCTCGCGGTCCGGGCTGTCCCGCACACCGGCGAGCGCCGCCGCCTCCGCGCTGCCCCGGGGCTCCGGGAGGTGCGGCCGGGGCAGGGAGCGGCTGCGCCGGTCCGGGGAGCGGCGGCGGGGCTGGTGCGACCCCCCGGAGTTACCGGTAGCCGAACCCCCGGGTGCCGTGAGGCGCTTCCCCGTGATGCCGTGCCGGAGGGTCCTGGAGGCCGCGGGGATGGGTACGGCGGAGTTTTGGCGGAGAAGCCGTGGGCTGGTAGGATGAATCACGCCTTTCCCTTGCCGCCTCCCCGGCCGGTGCCGTCGCAGCCGGTAATTACCGTGTTTATGGCAGAGCGGTAGTGGGCGGCGGAGAGGAGGGGCAGGAAGCGTGCGCTCGGGACGGGACGCCCCGGCCCCCGCCCGCAGCTGGGATCAGGGTGCGAGGGAAGGGCGCTTTCTGTGGGACGGGGCTCGCCACTCCGGCAGAACTTGCGGGGGGCCGTGGCTGCCGGGCCAGGCTGTGCCCGTGCCGTGGGCAGCCGCCTCCGCCGTGCGGGGCTCCCGATGTGCCAGCCTGCCCCGGGGATGCCCTGCTGGTACGGACTGGGGTGATAGCTGCCCCACCCCGACTCACCTTGCCCCCCAGGAGTGCCTTCTTGAGAGTATCGGTGAAGCCTGGGGTTCCTGGCTGACTGTTCCCTCAGCTTGGTGGGATGCGGGGCCATTGTCGTTGCCTTGTGGCTCAGGCTGCTTGTGATGGGGGTGAGGTCAGATCCCAACATCTGGATCTGTGTGATCCCCTCCCATGCCAGGTAACAGCTGGCTGCAGAGCCTGCGTCTCCATCCCCTTGGAGATGCTGGGATGGCTCATGGTCCCTTCCTGGTATACTGCTGGAGTCGCTGCTGCTTTCTTCCACTGTGTGCCTTCCTGGGGGAGCAGGGCTGTCCCTTGTGCCAGGTGCCCTGGCTGGTTCCTGCCTTTGGGTTCCACCAGCCCATGGGAGCTGCTCAGCAGCTGGTGGGGGATGAAGCAAGGCTACAGCTGCTCTCACCAGCAGTAAGGGGACATGCCCTGTGCCAGCAGGTCCCAGTACACGAGGACCTACCATCAGTGGGGAGGGGGCCTCTGCCTGCCCACCCCTGCTGCCACAGGGGCCCTGCTAAGCAGCCCACCTGCCTGGCCAGCTCCTGCCCTGGCTGGGGCTTGTTGTGAGCCCCTGTGGAAGGGTCCTTTGAGGACTCCCGGCAGCAGGTGACAGCATTGTCCCTGGGGTGAGCAGCTTGCCACAGCAGGAGCTGGGGATGCCCATGGCATGCAGCATCCCAGCCCTGCCTGGCTCAGGAGTGGACCAGCCAGCACGGCTGGCAGCAGTGGTGTGTGCCTTCTGGGGACATCTTCTCTGGGGCCCCCAGGACATGTCAGCTGGGGCTGCCTAAGGCTCCTGCAGGCAGGGAAGCCTTTGGGTCACATCCTCCTGCCCGGGGGTCCCTCAGCAGGGCACTGTGGGGGCTGAGCCACGGGCAGGGTGCTGCAGGCACAGGGCAGCAGGAGCAGGCTGCCAGCCAGATCCTGTTGGCTCAAGGCCGGGCACAGCGAGCGGATGGACCTGTCTGGTGGTGCTGCCGTGGAGAGTTGCACAAGGGGCTAGGAATAGAGCAGCAGGAGGTGATTAGAAGGTGCAGGCCCAGCTGGGTGGTAGCAATAAATAGACTAGGCTTAAGCCCCTGCCTACCTGGGCAAGGCTGCTGGGCATGTCTGTACACACGAGGCAGCCACAGCCTGTCCCTGCTCCCTGCCACAGCCAACCCCCCCACACAGCTCCAGTCCTGCTGCCTCTCCTGGGCCAGCTTCTTCCCTTTGTTGCAAGCAGAGCTGGGGGAACGGTGCTGACTGGGAGTGCTGGCCAGGATTCCTGGCTGTGAGAACATGAGCCCCAGCCTGGTGGCCACAGCAGCGTGGGGACATGATCCCGGACATGTCCTTCAGGCTGGCTGTGGACACTTCTCTGCTGCCCTCCTGGGACAGGTGTTGCCTCTGACCTTGCCATGTCCTGTGGTGCTGCAAATCCCTGTGGCCCAGCACGGTGACTGCTGAATCGGCAGTGCCGGCTGCAGCCAGCTGCCCTTGCTGCTCCGGGCATGTGGGCAGGATGCTGCCTGCCAGGGATGCTCAGTGCCCAGCCCCAGGGTAGCTGAGCCCCTGTGCCCCTTGGGGACCCCTGAGGTGGGTGCTGCTGGGAGGCAGATGTCACGCTGGCTCCAGTGGTCTTGGGCAGGGTGAGGCAGGGCTGGTACAGTTGAAAAGGTCACATAGTGCTGTGTGTCAGCACACACTTGCTCAGGAGCAGCTGCCTGGGGAACTTGGCTCAGCCACAGCTGGCGGTGGTGGCTGTCTCCAGTGGCTGGGGTGTGTGGCATCACCTTGCCTGGCAGGTCACTGTGTGGGCACAGGCATCTTCCTGCCCAGCTGGAGCCTCACTTTCCCCTCATCCTGTCCCCACAGGAGGGGCGCTGCCTGGCCAGCTCAGGGAGCGGGGTGGCAGGAAGGAGCTGTTATCATTCATTGTCCCCAGCTCAGCTGGGAGTGACAACAACTCCTTCCTGCCCCACGTGTCCGGCCTGGCTGTGGGACCGGCGTGAGAGGGCTGTTCCCACAGGGCCACAGCCCAGTGTAGGGAGGGCTTGGTGATCTGGGACTGGCATTGGGGTGGCTCAGATCCCTGGGCAGTGCTGGCTGCTGAAGGTCTGTGGGGATGTGGCTAGGGGCTGTTTTGGGGAGAGCCAGCTCAGTTCAGCCCGTTGCTGGGGCACCTGCAGTCTGGCAGCGATGCCCTCTGTGCCCCTGGTGCCCAGGACGCTGTGTGCCTGCTGTCCTGCCTGCAGCTGGTCCCTGTCATCCCAGGGTGGGCAGAGGGGACAGTGAAGTCCTAACCCCCCTTTGCTGCAGCTCAGCCTTTGTAATCCCCTTCTCGTTCCGACTCACCAGCTTATTTCCTGGCTAATTCCCCAAGCTATAAATACTGCACTGCCTCAGAGGGCCCCGAGGCCCTTTGGCTACCCTAAGGGGCAGCGGCTGGTCCCCCAAGCAAGGATGCAAGAGCCCTTGTCCCCCCCGGGGGCAAAGGGTGTCACTTGAGGGAGCAACTGCCATAGGGCCAGTGGGATCTTGGGCCAGGCTTGCTTAGGCCAGTTACCCCTGGCTACATTGGGGGCTGTTGTTCACTGGACAGGGTGATCCCTCAGACCCTTGCTGGGGTGCAGGAGGTCTCCAGGAAGAACCTGTGGTTGTGGGGAGGTGGGGGGCTCAGGACCTGAGAGGAAACCCTGTCCTTTGGCTGAGTATCCCCCTGTCTGCAGGCCGCAATGAGCCCCTGAAGAAGGAGTGTCCCAAGTGGAAGAGTGACTACCCCATGACAGACGGGCAGCTGCGCAGCAAGCGGGATGAGTTTTGGGACACAGCACCAGCCTTTGAAGGCCGCAAGGAGATCTGGGATGCCCTGAAGGCGGCTGCCTATGCTGTAGAAGCCAATGACCACAGCCTGGCCCAGGCCATCCTCGATGGAGCCAGCATCACCCTGCCCCATGGTGAGGGTCAGCACTGGGGGTTTGGGTGGGGTGTGTGCTGAATGTCCCATATCTGGGCACATGGGGTCCCAGGCTGGAGTAGAAAGGGGCTCCCACCTGCCATCCAGAGCCAAGGCGAGAAACGCAGGCTGTGCCATGCTGCTTGAGGTGTCCCTGTCCCCATCTGAGTGGTCCATGGGGATGCCCACCCTTAGCATCTTATCCTGCTGTCCCCAGGGTCCCTGACGGAGTGCTATGATGAGCTGGGCAACCGGTACCAGCTGCCCGTCTACTGCCTGGCACCCCCGGTCAACCTGATCCTGGAGCGGAGCGAGGAGGAGGCGGTGGAGCCGGCCGAGCCGCCGCCCCACGCCCGGCGGGAGTTCACGCTCAAGGTGCGCCTCTCCACCGGCAAGGACCTGCGCCTCAGCGCCAGCATGAGCGACACCATTGGGCAGCTGAAGAAGCAGCTGCAGGCACAGGAGGGCATTGACCTGGCCTGGCAGCGCTGGTTCTTCTCAGGCAAGCTGCTCACCGACCGCACGCGACTGCAGGAGACCAAGATCCAGAAGGATTTTGTTGTGCAAGTGATTGTCAACCAGCCCCTTCCACCCAGGAACTGAGCCACCCCCTGCTGATTGAGGGGAGAGGGCAGGGGGCTGGGGGATGTGGTACCTCTGGGGGTTCCCTGTGCTGTGTTCTGGCCCATCTGGAGCTGCTCCTGCTCCCCCCTGAGGCTGCCACACAGGTGACCCCCCCAGGAAGGTGTGCATGGGGCTGTGCCACCACGGTGGCTCCCCTTGGCTGGGGACACGGGCAGGCGCCGTGTTTGCTGAAGGAGGTTCGAGACCAAACGTCTCTGGGGCTGGGGCTCCTCTGCCAGGCTGTGCCGGCAGGGAGAGGCTGTGACCCACTGGGCTCTGGCTTCCCCCTGGCCTGGAGACCCGTGGGGTGCTGGGCTGGGTGGAGATGTCTCCCCTCTGTACATAGTCTGTATTTATCAATAAAGCCTTTTCATCCTTCCTCTGGCCTTGGGGACAGGCTGGAGGGGGCTGTGACCCATAGCCATGGGTGCTCCCTGTGCCTGTCCTGTATCTGCTCCCATGTCAGAATGGGCACAGGGTGGTCAAGGGTAGCCTGGACACCCTGGTTCTGCTCCCTAGTGCCACCCTGAGCCTGTCCTGCCAGCCCTGGCTGTTTGCTTGCCAGGACCCTTCCCCTGCATTGTCCCATTGTCATCCCAGCTGCTTAGTGTGGGGTCGCCACTTCCCTTTCCTGGTGCTTCCCCTCTGGAGGTTTAAGCTTGTGTCTGCCCTTGAGCTAGGTGGGACAGTCCATGGAGGGGAACAGTGCAAGACTACCTTTACAGCCACCATGGCCTGTCACACCCATGGGACAGGGCACCCCAGGATGGCCCTGGGAGCTGCCCAGGAGGGTGACAGTGACGTGTAGCTGTCCCTCCCTCCCCCAGGTCCTGTGCTGGTGGATGGTGCCCAGCGCATTAACTGTCCCTGCACAAGGCAGTGTTTGCCTCACCTTACAAGGGGGGAGTTCTCAGGAGGGTTGAACAATGTTCCTGCTGCCGGGAATAGCTGCCAGCTCTGCCTGTTGGCCCCACGTGAAGCCACTCCTGCTGCCAGCCTGCCATGTGCTGTGGGGGAGGCCAGGCAGCCTTGGGGACCCTGGCAGGGCTGCTCAGAATGTTCCACACCTGAGGTCATCCTCTAAAGCAGCACACAGGGGCCGTGACTCCTGGCATCCCCTGCTGCCTGCTGCTGCTGAGAGACTTGAGAGGACCCATTGCCTCCCTTTGGGGTGGGCAGGCCCCCCCCCCCCCCCCCCCAGGCCCCCACACAGCCCAAGGTGCCAGGGAACCTCAGGCAATGTTGGTGGCTGCTACAGCATCTGACTGGATAGAGATGGGAGCCCTGGGAGCATCTTACTTGCCCAGGGTGGGTGGCACAGGCATAGGTGCCATGCCTATGGGATGACCCTGGATCATGTCCCTGTAGTGCTGAGCCTCTCTTGACTGGCTGTCACAGGTTCTGCACACCGCAGCTCCCCATAACAAGCACAGATGTCCTGGTCAACCCAGGGTGTGGGGGGGGGCCTCTTTAGGAGAGTGTGGGGCTGGAGAGGTGAGTCAGGGCCAGAAAGCAGGAGGGTGAGCTCATGGCAAAGCTGCCCCAGTCATGTGGAGCAGCCACAGCTGTCAGTGCCCTTGGGCTGTGGGACAGAGAGGCCAGCAGCATAAAGCCCCACAGCCAGCAAAGCCACCGGCAGCACCGGGACACAGGACTGGGAACTCCCTGCCCCTGGTAGCAAGAAGAAGAGGACACATCCAGAGCACAGGACTGTGCACTGCAGGCAGACATGGAGCTGGATGTGGAACGGGCCAAGGAGCTCATCGAGCAGAAGCTGGCAGAGGAGGAGAAGGAGGAGGTGGGTCCACAGGGCAGGGGAGCCCTCCTGGGCTGTAGTAGGAACCCCCATTGTACTCTGTCCATCCTTAGGGACTCGGATGTGAGGAGGCTGGCACCGACCTTGCCATCCTGGGGGATATATGAAGGTGTCCAAGGGCTCTCAGGGGGATCAAGTTCCCAACCCGGCAGCTCTAGCCCATGGGGCAGGACTGAGCAGCCAGCAGCTGCCCAGCTTACCAAGCAGGGTGGGCGGGCAAACCCAAGGGCTGCCAAGCACCCTGCAGACCTCAGCGGCGAGTGGAGCCATGCCCAGAGCCACCTTCCCCAGCAGGCTGAGGATGGAGGCAGTGGGGCTGCTCTGTGCCCAGACAAGACCATGCAGCACCCGCTGTGCCTGTGCAGAAACTCAGAGGAGATGGAGCACGGGAGCCACCGGCCGTGGAGCGGATGAACACACCTGACCTGGAGGAGGAGAAGCACCATGGGCCCAGGAACTGGGGCCTTGAGGCCATCAAGGTGAGTGGGCTGGGCTGCAGGCTGGCCAGGGGTGGCAGGTCACAGACAAATCAAACGGGGCACTGTGTGTGCTTGGCAGGGCCAGGAGAAGGTGCGGAGGAGCTCCATGGATCTGAGGCGGGAGATCATCGACGTGGGGAGCATCCAACGGCTCATCGAGCTGCGCAAGCAGCGCCGGCAGCGCCGGGCAGAGCGGGCAGCCACCCCCGAGCCCGCTCCACCACCTGAGCCCCTGGAGATTGTACGTCAGGCATCCCAATCTGTGGGAGGGGGCTGCTGGGATAGGGGCTGCACCACCCACAGGCCAGCCCCCGGGTCACCCTGCCACCCAGAGACCTTCATGGGGAAGTAGGGCAGGGGGCCCCCATGTTGTCCCCTCTCCTGCACCCCTGTGCTGCCCCAGCCCTGAGCCTGTGCCATTGTCAGGATGGTCCTGTGGAGCCAGAGACCTTCCTGCGAGCTGCTGTCCAGGGCAAGATGCACATCATCGAGAAGTTTCTGGCAGACGGTGGCTCCCCTGACACTTGTGATGAGGTAGCATCCCTGGCAGCCACTGGTTGCCCCCTGTTGCATGCCACCAAGGCCTGCAGCCATGCCCCACCACGCCTGTGGGTGGGCGCTGGGACCCTTGGGACAGGGCTGGAGGTACAACCAGACTGGGCAGGGGAGGATGCCTCTGTCTGCCAATGTGCCACCCTGTCCCCCAGTTCCACCGCACAGCCCTGCACCGCTCCTCGCTGGAGGGACACATGGAAATCCTGCAGAAGCTGCTGGACACTGGGGCCACTGTTGACTTCAGGGACCGGGTGAGGCTGGATTCTGCTTCCAGCTGTGTGCTGGTCTGAGCATCTGGGTGTGTTGCAGCCAGAACTACGGTAGGACTGGGGACCCTGCAGTGGGGCAGTGCTGTCCCCATCACGGAGGTGGCTGCAGGCAGGGCTCTGCCCCTTCAGCTCCAGCACGGGGACCTGCTGGGGCAGGGGACAGGCACAGGGTAGGGGTGTTCCCCACCATGACACAGCACTGTATGTCCAGCTGGACTGCACAGCCGTGCACTGGGCCTGCCGGGGTGGGCACCTGGATGCTGTCAAACTGCTGCAGGACCGCGGGGCAGACCTCAATGTGAAGGACAAGGTGAGCAGGGCAGAGCAGGTCACAGGGCTGTGCCAGGGGCAGGGGCATACCCTGGAGTACCAGAGCTGACCCTCTGTTGGGTTAGCAGCTGTGGGTGCTGATCCCCCCCCTGATGTCCATCTCACCCCCCTCAAGCTGCTCAGCACACCCCTTCACGTGGCCACCCGAACCGGACACCTTGACATCGTGGAGCATCTCATCCACTGTGGGGTGGATATCAATGCCCCAGACAGGGTGAGTGCTGCAGCCATCCAGGCATCACTGCAGGCAACACTGATCCCTCTCCCTTTGCTGACCCCTCCAAGGGCTTCCAGCACCCACAGTGGGGCACATCTGGACATACACACTGCTGCCTCAGGGTGGTTGCAGCCACAACCAGGTCTGGGACAGGAGCGTCCCCCTTGTGTGGAGATTGGTGTGCTGGGGACTGAGGAGCAGTGCTGGGGACAAGCAGAGGGTCCTTGTCCCTGGACCACACTGTCCAGTGAAGCTGTGTCTCTCACAGGAGGGTGACACAGCACTGCATGATGCCACACGGCTCAGTCGCTACAAGATCATCAAAACGCTGATCCTGCATGGGGCTGACATGATGGCCAAGAATGAGGTGAGTGTGTGGGGCCAGCACTGAGGCCATTTCCTGCCCCCATGTTGCACCACCCTGTGCCCAGCCTCTCTGTGCCCACTCTTGCAGGCTGGCAAGACCCCGACAGACCTGGTGCAGCAGTGGCAGGTGGACACACGTCAGGCGCTGGAGACCAAAGAGCAGCCACAAGGGGAGATGGAGGTCCCTGCATGATGGCACCAGGCAGGGACCAGGGGCTGGGCCCAGCTCCAAGGAGCGGGATCCAAACAAAACTTGTCTGTGTCAATAAAAGTCAGCAAAGAGCAGTGTTTGGCTCCAGAGAGCTTTGAGTTTGGGCATCCCAGCGTTGATGGGCCTGGGGAAGCTGAGTTATCTGGGAGCAGGGTTATCTGGCAGTATGATGAGCCCTGCCTCCTCTCACTGGGACTCAAGTATTGGTGACACCAAGTGGTTCAAGGGCAGGACTCCTCGCTGCAGGAGTCCTGATTGCTCACAGTCCTACGAAGTCCCACCTGGGCAAGCTCAGGGAGGAAAAATACATGGAGGACAGCTCAACCTGAGTCCATGTTGTGCTGGAGGCTGGGGCTATGAGAGAGAGCAACAGCTGTACCTGTGCTGGGCAGCCACTCTGTGGGGTTGGATGGCTTCTTGTCCTTCTGCCTTTCCTGCTGCAGCCATCCCCAGGGGACACGTGGTCCCTTTGCACACATGCTGAGTGCAGTGCTCACTGCTCCCTACATGGAACTGTTCACACTCACCCGTTTACGGGAGACCCTACACTGGCAACTGGATCAGGTGATCCCTGACCAAAGCCCTGGGACTGCTTGCAATGCCTGGTCCCTCCCTGGCCTTGCAGCCCAGCCCTGTACGAGGCAGAGGGATGGCTGCCAGGGTTGGCAAGCAGAAGGGAAAGCCACGGCCGCGGTGGCCAAAGCTCACCTGGAGGGGGCTGAGCTCCTTGCAGCCATCTCCTGGAGGGGCAAGAACACCCTGAGCTCATCTGGTGCCACCCCCCATGTCGCCTGCCCAGCGGGGTCGCGGGTCCCTCACGTGCCCCGTCAAACATTAACAGGCGCGGCAGCGGCAGAGGCAGCGGCAGCCACCATGGCCCTCAGCACCGGCCTCACCGCCTCGCTCCGGCCCGCCCTGGCCGCTCTGCGCCGGGCAGCCCCCAGGCACTGCCGGGGCCTCAGCACCCCGCAGGCATCAGAGCCCTCATTCAATCTCGGCGGCATCTTCCCGCCGCTCGCCACCCCTTTCTCGCCCACACAGGAGGTGGACTATGGCCAGCTGGAGGGGAACCTGCGCCGCTACGCCCGCATCCCCTTCCGAGGTAAGCGCTGCCCCCGTCCTCTTCCGTGCCGGCTCCCGCCCGATCCCCGCCTGCCACAGGCTGTGCGGGCAGCCTGCCAGCTTCCCAAGGGTGCTCAGCCTCCGGCTGGACTTTGCTCCGTGGCTGGCACCGCCTCGGGTCACCTACCTGGGGCCCTCTGCACGGCACGTGCCCAGGCACACGAGTGTGCCCTTGCACACCCCCAGCACACGCCAGCACGGGCTTGCACACACGCTCCACACACGTGCAGGCCTGCACACATGCTCCACTCATAGCTGCAGGCTTGAACCTATGCAATGCACTCCCATGCACACTCTGAAAAATTCATGGGATATGTATCTGTTGATTGCCAGGGATGGATAGATGATAGGAGAGGAGCTGCAGCCTCACAAGGATAATCCCCAGTGTCCTTTCTTCTGACCAGGAGGCTGGGACTGCAACGACATAGGCAGGAGAGGGCACACTGTGGGCTGTGGAGCTCTGCCTGGGTGCCAGCAGCAAAGAACGGAGTGAGAGTAATGTGGATCCCTGACAGTCCTGGCACTCTTCTCCTGTCCTCCCCACATTTGTGTTCCAGGGCTGGTGGTGCTGGGCTCCAATGGGGAGTATCCCTACCTGGCGTCCCGTGAGAAGGTGGAGGTGGTGAGCTGCGTGCGCCGGGCTCTGCCCAGGGATCGCCTGCTGCTGGCTGGCTCAGGCTGTGAATGTGAGTGCCTGTGTGGGCAGCGTGGGGGGCAGTGCAGGGCCGTGTGTCCCCCCTGGAGCACCCCTCACCCCTCTGCCTCCTCCCCAGCCACCCAGGCCACCATCGAGCTGACAGTCAGCATGGCAGAGGCGGGGGCTGATGTGGCGCTGGTTGTGACACCCTGCTATTATCGGGGGGCCATGACCACTGCTGCCCTCATCCATCACTACACAGAGGTGAGCCTGTCCAGTGCCTGACAGCCCAGCAGGTTTTCACACGTCCAATGTGTCCCCAGCCCACACTAGCTACTGAAATGTGCCTGGCTGCCTGCAGGTTGGCGACGCATCCCCCATCCCTGTGGTGCTGTACAGTGTCCCTGCCAACACCGGCCTGGACCTGCCCATGGAGGCTGTCACCACCCTGGCTCAGCACTCCAACATCATTGGGATCAAGGACAGCGGTGGGGACGTGAGTGGGGCAGGACTTTCCCAGGGCTGCTTACCACTGAACGTGGACCTAAGCTGGGAATGGGGAACTGGGACCTGCAGCCCTTCCCTGGACCCCAGGGCTGCCCGCAGGCACCCTGCAGCAAGGGGCACGGGGTGATGCCGGCCCCAGGGCATGGCATGTCTCTCCCTAGATCACCCGCATGGGGCTGATGGTCCACAAGACAAGGCAGGAGGATTTCCAGGTGCTGGCAGGATCAGCTGGCTTCCTGCTGGCGAGCTACGCTGTGGGTAAGTGCAGCTGCCCAGACTTGGCTGGGGACACTGCCTGGAGACACTGCCTGGCAGGGGGAGGCAGGCGAGAGACCGGGAGGTGCTGGCTAGGCACAGCACTCTGAGCTGGCTGCCGCAGTGTCCTGGTGTCTCTAGGTGCCTCTGGGGGTGTGTGTGCCCTCGCCAATGTTCTGGGTGACCCACTGTGTCAGCTGGACCACCTGTGCCGCACGGGGCAGTGGCAGGAGGCCCGGGACCTGCAGCACCGCCTCATTGAGCCCAACACAGCGGTGAGCAGGCAGAACCCCATGGCTGCTGAGGGGAGGGGTGCCAGGCCAGGACACAGGCAAAGAATGGAAGTCCCTTGGGCTGCAGGGGGTGGAGGGGTGATTCAGGGGGACAGAATGGCACAGCACCTTGGCCAGTGAGCCAAGACAGGCTGGAGGTGAGAAGGTGGAAAGTGCCAGCCCTGTCATGTTGAGGAACAGCTTGTCCACTGGCACCAGGCAGTGGTGCATGACCCTCCGTGAGAGCCTTGCTGGCTATTTATAGGCAGCAGTGTGTGTGGGGGGAGAGCTGGTCTTTCCTGGGCCCTTCATCCCCTATGGAGTGGCCTGTCCCTGCTGCAGAGCCCAACACACCACAGAGCTCCTGTGTGGAGTCCTGTGTGCATGTGCTCTGCCCCCCACCCCACAGTGGGCACTTCATGGGGTGCTGCAGCCACCTCACTCCCTGCCAGCCTTGCAGCCCCACATGGGGAGGACAGGAGTGATGGCAAGCAAAGCCATGGGAGCAGGGGCTGCACAGCAGAGCCCAGAGATGCTGCCCCATGGGGGCCAGGAAGCCTCCATGCCCTCCCTCCATCCCACAGGTCACCCGCCGGTTTGGCATCCCGGGGCTGAAGAAGGCCATGGAGTGGTTTGGCTACTATGGAGGTCCCTGCCGTGCACCCCTGGCCCCTCTGAGCCCTGCCCAGGTTGAAGAGCTGAGGAGCACCTTCCGTGCCAATGGCTGGCTGTGAGCTGTTCTCCATCTGCCCCTTCCCACACTGGGCAGCTACAGGAGTCAGGGACCCTGGGAACTGGGGACATTCTGGGGACACTGAGGGGTGGCCAGGAGAAGGCTGCCATATTACTCTTCCCTGTTGGACAGGGCTGGACTGGGCAGACTGGGTGGAGGAGGGCAACCCCAAGCCAGCCCCCAGGGACCTGTTGTCTTTGCCTGGGAAGGGGTGGATCTTTGTGCCATGAATAAACCTGCAGTCTCCTCTTTGTGTCTGCAGTCTCTTCTGTGCAAGGCACCCATGCCATCCCTGCTCCCAGCAAAAAAGACATGGCACAGGTGTTTGGCAACATGGTTTACTCAGCTGAGGTCCGTGCAGGCAGCAGCACAAGGCAGGGTCACAGCAAGGCACGGGGCCCGGTGTGGGCAGAGGCTGGCAGGGAGGCACAGCCCCTGCACTGGGCAGTGAGGGCTGCCGGGAGCCCAGTGCCACAGCCAGCCAGACCACACTGGGGGTGAAGGTGAGCATGCAGTGGGGAGGTGAAGGATGCTTGTGGGGGCAAAATGGGGAACTGTGTGCCCCCTGCCTGCCCCGTCACCATACCTCTATCCCCGCTCTGCCCAGGCCTCCTGCTCCAGCCCTGGCACTCCATGCAGCCCTGCTCAGTCCTCACTCCAGGCTCCAGCTGACCCTTCTCCTTGCTCACCATTGCTGCCATCCTCACCAGCGTGCAGCAGATGCACCAGGCTGGGCATTCCCCAGTCGCTCTTGGTGGGGATGTGCTGCTGGTGTTCCCAAGGCAGTGGGTGGATGGGTGGATTGGCACAGGGAGGAGGGGAACACAGCCCATTGGCTGGCCTGAGAGCAGGCTGGGTTCTTTGGGGACACAGTGTCACCGTACCCTGGGCATGCGGGGGGATGGCCAGTCACCCTGAGCTGAGGGTGCAGGCCACAGCATGCCCGGGGTGCCCATCCTGCCTCCAGGACCAGGGCAACAAAGTGAGCCAGGAGCTGCCCCTCTGGGGGCACGTGGTTCAGTCAGCAGCTTCCAGCCAAGGCACCCTGGCAGTGGGGTCAGGGACCAGCCTCTACCCCCCTGCTCCATCCTCTGCAGCTGGCTAGCAGCTGTAGTGGTCCACAGTCTTCCTGGGGGGAAGAGGGGCCAAGCCCCTGCCACCCTGTCCTTCTGCTGCTCCAGCAGGTGCCAGGGCTACAGCCAGAAAGAGAAGGCACCACGGCTGCCCCAGGGCACTTGGGTGGAGAGCGGAGGGTCCCATCCCCTCCAGCGGCAGGGGTTTGGCAGGAGGACGCTTGGAGGGGACGAAGGGCAGGGAGGCACCCAGCAGTGCCACAGCCCTTCTCCAGGGCCAGCCAGTGCCCAAGCAGGGGGTCCCTGCTCTGGTGGGAGGGGATGCAGGCACCCTCACGCTGTCAGGCTGTGGGCAGACTTGGAGGCGCCCTGGGCCCTCTGGATGATGGCCGTGCACTTCTCCCGCCGCAGCAGCTTGTTGTTCTCAAAGAACCCCTCATTGCGGGGCACGCCGTGCGAGCCATCAGGGAAGGTCAGGAGACCTGGGGAGGGGAGGGAAGGGCTGGGAGTGAAGAGGCAGGGAGCTGCACCCACCGGGATGGGGCCAGGGAGGTGCTGGAAGGGGCAGAGCTGAGCAGGGGCCGTGCAGCACTCACCGAAGCCGTACACGCGCCCGCCTTTGAACTCGCCCTCGAAGGTCATGTTGTCACAGCGGGTGAAGACCCCGACGCCATTGAACTTGCCCTGCACAAACTCCCCCTCGTACCTGTGTGGGAGGCTCTCCTGAGGCAGCAGCTCCCCACGGCAAGGGGGAATGCTCGGGGAGGTGCACGCGGGAGCGCCGGGCCCACCTGGAGCCGTCGGAGAAGGTGAGCACGCCGCAGCCGTGGAAGAGCCCGTTCTCAAAGTGCCCCACGTAGGCAGTGCCATCAGCAAACGTCAGCTGCCCGATGCCGTGCCTGCGACCTGGGTGAGAGCAGAAATGGGCAGCACTGGCCAGAGTGGGACCTGCCCCAGTGTGGAGCTGGGCAGAAATGTGGGGTTTGTTGTCCCCCAGCACAGGTGGCACCGTTCCCTCCTGCCACATCTCACCTTCTTTCCACTCGCCACGGTACTCCTCCCCGTTGGAGTAGGTGAAGGAGCCTTTGGTGAGGGTCATGGCAACAGCCTCCGGCACAGCAGGAAAAGAGCTGGCAGGGAGAGGCACAGAGAGCTGCTGGGCAGGGAGAGCAGCTCAGCTCGCCCAGAGCCCTTGCATCCCTTGCCTGCCTGCCCTGGGGACAGCACTGCTAGGGCACAGCACAGATGAGGAGGTGAGCACAGCTGCCCTGCCCAGGCTCTGAAACCCCAGCCGCCAGGTTCGGGTTGCTGCCCGCCCCCCTGCAGGGCTCAGGGAGATGTGAGCCCACGGGGGTCACAGCCCTGTGAAATGTGAGTGAGTGGCAGGAAGAGGAGTGTGTCATGAACTGGCTGCCTCCGTCATGGCACTCCAGCAGAATCCCAGAGGTCCTGCACTGTGCAGGCTCAGGCCAGGAGCCATTATGAGCTTTGCTGAGGCAGTTCCAAACAGAAACAAGCATTTTTGAGAGGAGATGGATTTGCTGGATTGTGTTCAGGGGAGTATCTCAGGAGAGGGAACAGAGAGCTTGTGGAGTTTCCAGATTCAGCATCACGAATGGGCAGACCTGGTTTACCCCCAGGGATGACAGGACACTCCTTCCAAGAGGGACAGCAGAGATAGGATCCTGGGGCTTCAGGGCTTTGCTCAGCTACCCAAGCTTTGCAAACCTGCCTGCTAACAGCAAGCATCCCCTGAAGCCCTGCACACCTCGCAGAGCCCTACTTCGCAGCACAGCTCTCGCCAGCACACAGGGAAGGCACCAGAACAGAGACAGCCCCGCAGGTGGGCTGGGCGCTGCCTCTCCAGCAGCTGCCGGTGCAGCTCAGGCAGAGCCAGAGATGGGAAGGGGCTCCCAGCATCCAGGCGGGGTCTATCCGCTCACAGCCGGCTGCACATCACCCAAAAGGTGGGTACCGAACCACATGAAGCAGCAGGACGTGGCAAAACAGCAGCAAAACAAGAACTTGCCAGGGCTTTGTGTCAGAGAAATGGCCCCAGCCCAGGCGAGCAGCGACTGAACAGTGCTCTCTGCTGATGGGAGGCACCGGGAGCGCACCGCCGGCTCCCGCCCTGCAGCCTGCCCAACCGCGCCGGGCGCAGGAGAGGATGCTGCGGCGGGCTGTGACACGGCCAGCACGGCCTGTGACGCTTCAGCCGGAGGACAGCGCTCCAGGAGCACTCCAGCCTGCCCAGGAGCCGGGCCCGCCCGCGCTGGGCTCCCGGTACCCGGAGCCTGCCCCGCGTACCGCGCCCGCCGCAGGGAGGGGCGGCGCGCCCCGCGCAGCCCGGATCGCACAGCGGCCGAGGGGGCACGACCCCGTTGCACCACACCACAGATCCCCGGGCCGAGGCACGGACATACCGCCCGCGCCACGCACCCACGGGGGATGCGCGCACACCCCGCCTGGGCAGCGTGTCCGGGGGCGTGACCGCGCCCATGGGTGATGCACCCACATCCCGCTGTACCGATATCCCGTCGTGTCTCTGTTCCTGTGAGCGATCACCCACACCCCGGTGTGTCCGTGCACCCACACCCCGCCGTGTCCGTGCACCACGGCTGATGCACCCGCACCCCGGTGTGTTCATGCACCCACGGCTGATACACGCACGCCCCATCAGCGGGACGCGCGTGGCGATGCTCACGGGCCCGGTGCGTGCTCAGGAGCGGGGTGGGCGGGGCGGGCGGCGCAGGGACCCGCGGCCCGCGCTCACCTGGCTCCGCGCCGTCCGCCTACACCGCTCCCCAGCAGGTCCCGCCGAGGGGCGGTGGCCGCCACCGCCCCTGCCAGCACCCGCCCCGCCGGGCGGTGCCGCGCCGCCAGCGTCCATCCCCACTCGCCGTTGGCTGTTTCCATGGCAACCGCTAGCAACGCGGCTGCTCATTGGCCAGCTGCGCAGCACGCCCTCGCCGGCCGCCATCTTTGTGTGGGGAAAGAAGCTCTCCGCCGCGGGCGTGGCTGCAGAGGGGCAGTGCCCCCGCCCTGCCGCCATCTTTGTGAAGGGCAGCAATGGGCACGGCCACTCCAGAGCGTCCATCTTTGTGGAGGGCACTGGTGCCAGCCGCCTCGGCGGGGGTGTACCGGGGGCGAAGACACCATGGCCTCCCCGAACGAACGGTTCGAGGCGCGAGAGGTTCCGACCTAGCCCCAGCGGTATCATGTCTGCAGCCGCGCCCGCGGCTCCGGCCGCAGCGGCCGGGTTGGGCGTGACGCGACGTGGGGCGGGGCAGCCAATGGGGTGCGGCGGGGGGCGGAGCAGCCCCTGGGGCGCCGTGACGCGGTCGGAACCGGAAGCGGCGGCAGCGGTACGGCGGGGCCGGGCGGGCGGCGCGATGGACGAGACGAGCCCGCTGGTGTCGCCGGAGAGGGCGCAGGGCCCCGACTACGGGCTGCCGGGGGGTGCCGTGCGCGCCCTCCCGCCCGCTGCGCCCCCGCCGCCCTCCCCTCCCGGCTCCCCCGGTGGCCGCGACCGCGAGCGGCAGCCGCTGCTGGAGCGCGGGGCGCGGGGCCCGGCGGCGGCGCAGGCCCAGGCGCAGGCCCAGGCGGCGGCGGCGGCAGCGGCGGCGGCAGCGGCGGCCGCGCAGCGGGAGCGCAACGACTTCCCCGAGGATCCCGAGTTTGCCGACGTGGTGCGGCGGGCTGAGCTGGCCAGCGAGCGCGGCATCTTCCCCGAGCGCATCTCGCAGGGCTCCAGCGGCAGCTACTTCGTGAAGGACCCGCAGGGGGTGAGCTGGGCCCGGCCCCGCGCGGCCGACCCCGGGGTGGTGGTGCCGCCCCCGTAGCTCCGGAGGCCCGTGCGCTGAGCGGCACCGGCCGGGAGCGGGACGCTGGGAGGGCTGCTAGGAGCGACCGGAGAGGGTGTGAGCCTCCCCGGGGAGAAGTACAGCGGGAGCAGCAGCGAGAGTGCGGGGCAGCAGTGTCCAAGTGCTGATTGAACCTCTTCTGCGGCTTTGTGCCCAAAGAGGAAGGGTCACCCCCTCCCACGGGCCCGTGCATCGGCATCTGAACACAGT